TTGGGTTATTTCCAGTTTTAGATTATTATTAATAAAGCTTATATGAACATTTGTATACAGATATTTGTATGAACATAAGTGTTCATTTCTTTGGGATATATGCCAAATAGTGCAATTTCTGGGTTGTATGGTAAGCCATGTTTAGTTTTCTAAGAAGGTGCTGCCCTCTTTATCAGAGTGGCTGTACCATTTTCCATTCCCACTAGCCATGTATGAGTGATCCAGTTTCTCCACATCTTTGCAAACATTAGGTGTTTGTACTATTGTTTTTTATTATAGCTATTCTGGTATTCAAATGTTGAACCAGCCTTTCACACTTAGAATAAATCCCACTTGGTTATGGTGTATAATTACTTTTATATATTGCTGGATTAGATTTGCTAATATTTTATTGAGGACTTTTTGTGTTTAAGTTCATGAGAGATATTCTACAGTTTTTCTTTTTCTTTTCTTTTTCTTGTTACTGTCTTTGGTTTTGGTATCTGGGTAATATTAGCATCATAAAATGAGTTGGAGAGTTTTCCCATCTGCTATTTTCTGGAAAAGATTGTGTAAAATTGGTGTTAATTCTTCTGTAAATGTTTGGTAGAATTCCCAGTGAAACCATTCAGGAGCTTTTTAATTACAAATTCATTTTTTTCAGTGCTTATAGGACTATTTAGGTTGCCTGTTTTATTGAGGTTGAGTATGGTAGTTTATGGATTTGGAGGAACTGGTCCCCTTCTAAGTTTTCAAATTTATGAGCATACAGTTCATAGTATTCCTTTATTATCCTTTTAATGCCTTCAGGATCTGAAATGATATCCGATGTTTTATTTCTTGTATTGATGATATGTGTCTTCTCTCTTTTTTCCTCTTTGTCACTCTTGCTAAAGTTTATCAGTTTTTATCAATTTCTTAAGAAGAACTTTCTGTTTCATTGATTTTCTGTCTTATGTACCTGTTTTTAATTTCATTGATTTCTGCTCATATCTTTATTTTTCCCTTCCTCTGGGTTTATTTTGTTCTTCTATTTCTAATTTCTTGCTTTTACCCATTCTGATGTTCTTCTTTCCGTTTTGAAGTTCCAAGCCTTCTTCTCTTATCATCTCTGCTATTTAGAGAAACTTCTTTAGCCATTCTCTAAAGGTAGGTTTGCTAGTAACAAATTTTCTTAGTTTCCTTTGACCAAGAATGCCTTTACTTCCTCTTAATTCCTGAATGATATTTTCACTTGATATAGAATTCACAATTGACAGATCTTTTCTTTCACTACTTGAAAAATATTGTGCTATTTCCTGCTGGCCTCCATGGTTTCCTTTGAGAAATACCCTGTGATTCAAATTGGTATTCCACTATAAGTAATGCATTATTTCTCTCTGGCTGCTTTCATGATTTCTTTTTTTTTCCTTTTTGGTTTTCAAAACTTTTCAGAAGTTTTGTGTCTTGACATGAATTTTGTTAGGTTTATCCCTGTCTGAGTTTCACTCAGTTTCTTGAGTCTTCTTGAATTCACCACATTTGGGAAGTTTTCAGCCATTATTTCCTCAAAAATATTTTCAGTTCCATTCTCTCTCTCTCTTTTCTGCTATCCCATGATACAAATGTTAGATCTTTTGTTATTACTCCATTAGTCTCTGAGACTGTTCATTTTTTTCTCTTGTTGTTCAGATTGGGAAAATTCTATTGATGTGTCCTCAAATTCACAGATTTTTGCTTCTGTCATCTCCACTCTTTTTATTATTGTATTTTTCAGTTCTGTAATCTCTATTTGGTTTTCTTATATAACTTGTATTTCTTTGCTGATATTTTCTATATTTTTTCATTTGTTTGAAGAGAATTTGTAATTGCCTGTTGAAGCATTTTTATGACGGTTGCTTTAAAATTCTTGTCAGATCATTCCATCATCTGATTCATTTCCATGTTGGTGTCTATTGATGGTCTTTTCTCATTCATGTTGTGATTTTCCGGTTCTTGGTATGATGAGTGACTTTTTAATTGTATCCTGAAAACTTTGGATACTATATCAGTAGACTCTGGATCCTATTAATTCTTTTTTTTTTTTTTAAACAGTCAGTCCCCTGGTTGAGTTGTAGCAGGAGGGCTGAGTGGTGTATATGTTCAGCTTCCTTCTGGTGCTCGATGATACTACCCCAGCAAAAGTAGGCAGTGACTCCACTGCCATATTTTAGATATGTGGGCTGGAAGTTCAGCTCCCCCCTTGGCTCCATGGACACCTTCCCAGTGAAAATAGGGCACTGACTCATGACATCTCATTGCCTCCTAGTGTGGATGTAAGCTCAGCTCCCCGCTGGTTCCCACTGACATTAGTGAGGGGTAAAGCCAAGGGTTGACTCACTACTTTTTTGCTACAGGGTAGGGGCAGTAGCTTGGCTTTGTGCTGAGCCCCTCAAACATACAGGGAGAGGAAGGGGAAAGTGGAATGCCAACAAACCTCACCTCTCACCACCTCCTTCTGCCTTGTTGATGCCTGGTAGGGATGGAGGTTCATCTCCTGACTGGGTCCCACTGATACTAGGGGAGGGAGAAAGCAAAGTTTGGGTTAGCTCACCTCTCGCCACCTCATTCAGCCTCATCATTAATGTTGGGTGGTACTGGAGGCCCACCTCTCCACTGGGACCTGCTGATGGGAGCAGACGGGAGAGAAAAGGAACGCCTGCTAGCCCTGTTTCACACCAACTTATTCAATCTTGTTGCTACTGGGTTGCTGTGGAGATTCAGCTTCCTACTGGACCATGCTGACACAAGAAGCAGGAGAATAGTGGATGGTGTAGCACTGACTAGACCTGATTAGCACCACCTTGTCCAGTGTCATTGATGCCAGATGGGGGTGGATACTTAGTTCCCCACCGCTGGGCCCTGCTAACACTTGGGATGGGGGGAGATCAGAGTACTGACTAGTTTCATTTCTCACTGCCTCGTTAAGTCCCCCTACTACCCAGTGTGGGTGGAGGCTCAGCTCACTGCTGGATCTGCCGATACTACCCTATGGGGGGGGAATCAGAGCACTGCCTGCTTCCTTGCACAGGGATAGAAGCTCAGCGCTCTGCTCAGCCCCATCAGTACCCCTGCAGGGAAATTAGAACACCACCTGCTTCTTCCAGTGGGGCTTGGAAGATCCCACATAAGGAGACGTGCTTTTTTTCTGTTGGTTGGTTGGAGTAGTGCCGGTGTTGCCAAAAGAGTTTTCTGTTGTTTTGCCATCCTTTTTCTGGTCCCTCAACTAGGGGTATCCAGCTTTTCTTGAAGCTTTTTCTTTTATCTGTACCTGTTGGCAATTCTTGGTTTGAGGTTTCTACCGGGCCCTGTCTGGGATATAAGGGAGGCAGTAAGGAAACCCAGGGATCTCCCCTGCGTTGTCATGTTTCAGGTGCCTGGGAAGTTTGACTTCTTTCCACCTTTCAGAGTCTTCCTAAGCTTGTTTGTTGTGTTATAGCCAGGGTTTCTTAGTTGTAAAGGGAAAGCCCTGGGAGGAATGAAGCACTCCATCTTGGCCCAAACCAGAAGTTCCTTGTATTTCTTTTTAATATGGGAGTAGAGAAAGCTTTTCGAACTGACTCAACATTTAGAATCAATCAATAAAAGATTAATACATTTTCTTACATTAAAAACACATAATCATAATCAAATGTAAACCTGGAGAAAATATTTGACATGTATATGACAGACAAAAGATTAATTTCCCTAATAAATAAAGAGATCTTAACAATGAAGACAAAAAAGTCTAAAATCTTGATAGAAAAAATTGTCAAATGGCAGGGTTTGCAGAGAAATGCAAATGAACATTTGAAAAGATGCTTACTTTCACTCATAATAATAGGAATGCCAATTAAAACTACACTGTTACCATTTTACCAAAATCACATTGGCTAAAATCCTCAAGTTTGACAGAACACACTGTTGACAGGCCTGTGAAGAAACAAGTACTCTCATACGTTGCTGGTGGGAGTGCAACATGGTACAATTCCCAAGGAAGGGAATTTGGTTTATCTAACAAAATTACACTTACCCCTTGACTTAGCAATCTCACTGCTAGGAATTTACCTGGTAGGTATGCTTCTATAATTATGAAATAATAAATGCACAAGGTTATTTATTGTGGCATTATGTTTAATAATGAAGACTGGAACTCTGAAATGTCCACCAATAAAGGACCTATTGAATAAACAAAGGTATAGCCTCATAATGAAGTATTATACAATTGTATAAAAAGAATGAGAAGTTGACTGTGTACTGATATGGAGGTTATTTTGCTAAAAAGATGTGCAGAGCATTTATATAGTGTTTTATCTTTTGTATATAAAAGAAAGGAAGTAAGAATATGTGTATATGTTTGCTCTCCCCTCCCCCCAAATACCAGAAACTAATAGAAACAGTTACCTGTAGAGAGCTTGGGAAGGGGCTGAAGAGGAGAGAATAGGAATTGGAGAGAGATTTCCCTGAGTATGCCTTTTTATATAGCTTGACTTTTGAAATATATAAATGTTTAACTTCCAAAAAATGCAATGAAATAAAAAAGAAGACAAAGCAAAGCCTAAAATTGGAAAGAAACGAATAAACCTGACTCTATATCAAAGGTAACAGAATTGCTCAGAGACAAGAATTATTTCAAATAATTTATGAACATAGTATTTCAACTGTACTGAAGTCAAAAAGAAGTGAAAAGAATCTTAAATGTTACTTTGTAGTTTTATTGTTAGTGGTAGCATTGGTATTGAAATTTTGAAACTCATGTAGGTGTATGTTTTGTATTATAGATAAAGCAAATAAGTAATTATGTTAATTATATATAGAACTAAAATCTTCAGTATAATAGGAAATAAATACATGTATAAAATAACTTTTGAAAAAGCCTTATAATGTTAAATTTGAATGGAAAATATCAGTATGATCTCATGATTAATATATATCATATATATCAAGCATGATATCATGATTAATATATATATAATATATGTTATTATATATATAAAAATATAAAACGTATATATATTTTTCAGGACCAGCGACATAATTTGTGTGACCCAGTGCAAAACGAAAATGTGGGGCTATTTGTTCAAAAACCAGGAATAAAGTGCCATTAAAGGTAAAACATAAAGGCTTTTCCTTTCTTCTACAGTCTCTCACTCACTCAGCTTGTCATGGTGTTTTTTATTTGCCATTTAATGGTGTTCTAAGTAAAGAAAAATTAAAAATTTAAATTATTAGCATGAATTTTACCCTTAGTCTTTATATTGTACAATGTCAGTTTTAAAAGCAAATGTAAGAGCATTTGACTTGCATGTGGAATAGCTGAAACGTCACAATTTGTATTTTGTGACTTATCCTGGAGACTGTCTTGAGCTGGCCGGAAGAGACTATAACACAAACCAGATTTAGGAAATGCGAAGGAGGAAGAAAAGGTATCCCTTTGCATGGGATACTTAGGAGGCAAGTACAGATGCTCCCAGGCCCCCAGGGGCCTTGCCCTGTGACAATGGGGCATGACTAATGTGATATGATGTACACCCCGGGCCAGGGGCAGGGAAGTCAAGCCAGCCATTTCCCCTTCCTATGGGCCTGCTGCTCCAACTCAACAGCTAATGGGAGACCTCCAAGCATATTGGAACTTTAGTGCTGGGATACACTAGTGATCTGGATTGGTGGTGGGGAAGAGGCTATCCTTGCTTGGTCACCTGCTAAATGTGATGTGGCACTGCTAACCTGGGGTGGGAACACCACCACCATGCCTTGTCCCAAGATGTTGTGGGGCAAATGCACCCAACCCTGACCTTCCCTACACTCATACCCAGGCTCCCATTCGGGACAGAGGGCAGCCAACAGTGGTTGCTAGGAAGGGTTGGAGATGGGGAGGCTGGGCAGGGCCCAGGGCACCAGGAGGCACAGGAGCAGCCCCTGGGAACCTGTCCTGGGGACCCAAGCATGAACTGAGGCTCCAAGCCCCTGGCGCATGCTCCATTATCACATTGGACTCTACTGACCAAATACAAATATAAAGATAAAATTGCAATTAATTTCAAGACAGTGATTACAGAGTATTAAATTCCAAGCACACGGCCCTTCTGGGCACAAGTGCCTGTGTGACTGTCCTGGTAGCTTGCCCATGAAGCTGGCCCATCTATTTCATAGCGCTGTTCACTTCTCTGGTCTAGAAGCAATGACATGCCAATAGCAATAAGCTTACATTGAAACCAGATCTTGGTTTCTAAATTCCCTAATAGAAGGAAACAGTGCTTCTTGGAGAAATGGCTTATTTCTGGCTTGGTACAGACAATATATAAGGTGAGGCTGGGGCTTCTTATGCCAGAAATTAAGAAAGCACCAAAAGACCAATGGGAACAGTTAAGCATCAAGAGGAATAATGAATGCCTTTGCTTATGATGATTGAATAAATTAAAACCATGAGTACCATGAGTCCATCATGACACTCAAATGAGAGAAGAAACTCATTAGTGATTGGTGATGACTATTATACAAACACTTTATTCTGAAAATTGGCAACCAAAGGAAAGAGTTAAGCGTTTACCCCAACTTTTAAGGAAAAACTCGTTTGTCTCCTTTTGATTCTTCTTTATAGAAGAATGCCAGCTAACAGTTGCAAATGAATTCTTACAGTAGCATCATTTTGGCATCTTCCAAGAATATAATCCATTCAGGCAAGGATCATTAAGGAATGCTAAAACAATTGGGTGACATTGATGGAGGCCGTATACTTATGTGGTATCTAAGTATCACCCCTCAAGTTCCTTTTTAATTACAAAGAGAAAAACTTAGCTTGGTTGTCATGACCTTAACCCTGTGATCACAGTTAACACCACTTACAGTGAGGTAGACTGAGGCTATGTGGTGTAATATGATGTGATGCAATATGAAGACCACAGTGTCACCTAGGTAGCATTCTTGCCAAAAATGTTTAACCTGAATCTAATCAAGCCTCTAGACCTAACATCCAGTTTATAGCCTAGTTTACTAGGTTGCCATAACACAGTACCACAAACTGAGTGGCTTCAACAACAGAAATTTATTATCTCACAGTTCTGGAGACTGGACATATGAGATTAAGGTGTGGGTAGGGTTGGTTCCTTCTGAGGGCTGTGAGGATCTGTTCCATGCCACTCTCCTAGCTTCTGATGGTTTGTTGGCAATCTTTCATCTTCCTTGATGTGTAGAAGCATCACCTTGATCTCTGCCTTCATGTTCACATGGTGTTGTCCCTGTGTGCACATCTATCTCCACATTTTTCCTTTTATAAGGACACCAGTCATTTTGGATTAGGGACCCACCCTACTCCAGTATGACCTCATCCTAACTAATTACGTCTACAACGACACTATTTCCAAATAAGGTCATATTCTAAAGCACTGGGGGTTAGGGCCTTATAGAGGAGGAAAAATAAATTTCCCTCTACCTTTCTAGGTTCTTGGCTGAGACCTCCCTGTAATAAAAAGACAGATGAACAGGAGAAAAACAAACAGAAGTTTAAGAACATGTATACTGCCTATTTACATGGGAGAGACCCAGGAAAGCTGAGTAATCCCCCCAAGTGGCTCAAGCCACCACCTTAAATACCATCTCCAGCTAAAGACAAAGACAGATGGGAGGACAGGGGAGGCAGTTATGGTAGGCTACCAGGAAAAGCACAAGGAAAATGAAGTAAAAAAGGGTATGGTTGTTATGAATATTTGAGTCCGTGCCTTCTCCACTGATAAGAGTTTCCAGAGATTTAGTCATCATCTCTTCCTGGTACAGAGAGGGAGACACCCTTACAAATGGAGACCTCCCTTATAAATGTAAATGTCCCTTACAAAGAGTAACTTCTACTTGGTTTTCAGAGCTTTTCCTATGTCTGCACTTTCTTAAAAAATAATCAACCAAAAATAATCCTTATGCCAAAGAGGCAGATTTTAAGGTGACAAATTCTGCACACCTTCAGCTTCAACATATGATTTCAGGGGACAGACACAATTCAACTCATAACAACAGGAAATCTAGGAGAGAGAAGAACAAGTTAAATATCACCACAAAGAAATAATCAGACAAATCCAGAATGTGAGACTTCCTATAAAGTCTCTTCAGAAAGATAATGTCATTTATAAAAAGAAGTAGGGGGACTATTCCAAAAAGACTAAAGAAACCAAATGTATGAATTGTGATTGGATCCTGGTTTAAAAAAGAAACTGCTATAAGACATTATGATGGAAATTGGGGTGATTTGACTATGGTCTGGGTATTCTAAGAGTTAAATGATATTATGGAATTACTGTTAATTTTCTTAGGGGTGCTCATTCTGTGATAGCTATACATGAGAATGAACTTATATTAGGATATGCAGGCTAAAGTGTTTGGGGTGAAGTGTCATGATGTCTCCAATTTACTTTTATTTTTATACTGCAGTCTTTTAGGAATTTTATCATTTTATTTAATTTTTATTTTATATTGGAGTATAGTTGATTTACAATATTGTGTTCGCTTCAGGTGAACAGCAAAGTGATTCAGTTATACATATATCCATTCTTTTTCAGATTCTTTTCCCATATAGGTTATTACAGTAGAATTCCCAGTGCTATACAGTAGGTCCTTGTTGATTATCTATTTTATATATAGTAGTGTGTGTATGTTAATGTCAAACTCCTAATTTATCCCTCTCCCACCCCTTTCCACTTTGGTAACCATAAGTTTGTTTTCTATGTCTGTGAGTCTGTTTCTGTTTTGTAAATAAGTTGATTTGTATCATTTTCTTAGACTCCACATATAAGTGATATCATATGATATTTGTCTTTGTCTGACTTTCTTCACTTAAAATGATACTCTCTAGGTCCATCCATGTTGCTGCAAATGGCATTATTTCATTCTTTTTTATGGATGAGTAGTATTCCATTGTGTGTGTGTGTGTATATATATATATATATATATATACCACATCTTCTTTATCCATCCTCTCTTGATGGACATTTAGGTTGCTTCCATGTCTTGGCTATTATAAATAGTGCTGCTATGAATATTGGGGTGTATGTATCTTTTCGAATTAGTGTTTTTGTCTTTTCTGGGTATATACCCAGGAGTGGGATTGCTGGGTCACATGGTAGTTCTATTTTTAATTTTTTAAGGAACCTCCATACTGTTCTCCGTAGTGGCTGTATCAATTTACATTCCCACCAACAGTGCAAGAGGGTTCCCTTTTCTCCACACCCTCTCCAGCATTTATTGTTTGTAGACTTTTTGATGATGGCCATTCTGTCTGGTGTGAGGTGATACCTCATTGTAGTTTTTTTTTTGTGTGTGTGTGTGTGTGTGTGTGTGTGGTACTCAGGCCTCTCACTGTTGTGGCCTCTCCCTTTGCGGAGCACAGGCTCCAGTGCGCAGGCCCAGTGGCCATGGCTCACAGGCCCAGCCACTCCGCGGCATGTGGGATCTTCCCGGACCAGGGCATGAACCTGTGTCCCCTGCATCGGCAGGCGGACTCTCAACCACTGTGCCACCAGGGAAGCCCCCTCATTGTACTTTTGATTTGCATTTCTCTAATAATTAGTGATGTTGAGCATCTTTTCATGTGCTTGTTGGCCATCTGTATATCTTCTTTGGAGAAATGTCTGTTTAGGTCTTCTGCCCATTTTTGGATTGGGTTGTTTGGTTTTTTTTGATATTGAGCTGCATGAGCTGTTTGTATATTTTGGAGATTAATCCTTTGTTGGTTGCTTCATTTGCAAATATTTTCTCCCATTCTGTGTGTTGTCTTTTTGTTTTTTATTTATTTTTAAAAATTTTTATTGGAGTATAGTTGCTTTACAATGTTGTGTTAGTTTCTACTGTACAGCAAAGTGAATCAGCTATATGTATACATATATCCCCTCTTTTTTGGATTTCCTTCCCATTTAGATCACCACAGAGCACTGAGTAGAGTTCCCTGTGCTCTATAGTAGGTTCTCATTAGTTATCTATTTTATACATAGTATCAGTAGTGTATATATGTCAATCCCAATCTCCCAATTCATCCCACACCCCCCTTTCCCCCTTGACACCCATATGTTTATTCTCTACGTCAGTGTCTCTATTTCTGCTTTGTAAATAAGATCGTCTATACCATTTTTTTCAGATTCCACATATATGCATTAATACATGATATTTGTTTTTCTCTTTCTGACTTACTTCACTCTGTATGACAGTCTCTAGGTCCATCCACATCTCTACAAATGACCCAATTTCGTTCCTTTTTGTGGCTAATATTCCATTGTATATATGTACCACATCTTCTTTATCCATTCGTCTGTCGATGGACATTTAGGTTGCTTCCATGACCTGGCTCTTGTAAGTAGTGCTGCAATGAATATTGGGGTGCACGTGTCTTTTTGAATTATGGTTTTCTCAGTGTATATGCCCAGTAGTGGTATTGCTGGGTCATATGGTAGTTTTATTTTTAGTTTTTTAAGGAACCTCCATACTGTTCTCCACAGTGGCTGTATCAATTTACATTCCCACCAACAGTGCAGGAGGGTTCCCTTTTCTCCACACCCTCTCCAGCATTTATTGTTTGTAGATTTTCTAATGATGCCTATTCTAATCGGTGTGAGGTTATACCTTATTGTAGTTTTGACTTGCATTTCTTTAATAACTAGTGATGTTGAGCATCTTTTCATGTTCCTCTTGGCCATCTGTATGTCTTCTTTGGAGAAATGTCTATTTAGGTCTCCTGCCCATTTTTTGATTAGGTTGTTTGTTTTTTTGATATTGAGCTGCATGAGCTGTTTGTGTATTTTGGAGATTAATCCTTTGTCAGTTTTTCGTTTGCAAATATTTTCTCCCATTCTGAGGGTTGTCTTTTTATCTCATTTATGGTTTCCTTTGCTTGCAAAAGCTTTTGAGTTTAATTAGGTCCCATTTGTTTATTTTTGTTTTTATTTCCATTACTCTAGGAGGTGGATCCCAAAAGATCTTGCTGTGATTTATGTCAAAGAGTGTTCTGCCTATGTTTTTCTCTTAAGAGTTTTATAGTATTCGGTCTTACATTTAGGTCTCCAATTTACTTTTAAATAGACCAGCAAAAAAATGTATATACATACATAAAGCAAATATGTATGTACAGTGTGTATATAGATAAAGCAAATATACCAAAAGGTCAGCATTTGTTGAATTTAAATGGTGGGTATATGGGGTGTTCACAGTACTATTTGTTCAACTTTCCTGTATGTTAGACATTTTTCATAATAAAATGTTGACAGCAAATAAAGAAAAAAGTTTTTTTTTTTTAAAAGAGAAGATTCTGCCCACCAACTCTCAAATGAAAATGGAAAAATTCAACAGGCTTAAAGTACAGAAGGCGAAAATCCAGTTAGTGAAAAGGAGAAATTCGCCGTCAAGGTTGTTAAACAGTTGGGCTGCTTTCCAATTGATTCCTTCCCTCAAAGTCTTCATTACTGGGAGTTGGAAGCTAGAGTACAAGGCTCTCAATCAAGATGATTTGAGGGCCCCCCAAAGACCTGTTGACCTCTAAATATCTCCCCTGCTGGCTTCCCATGTGGCCTGAAATCCCTGTAACCTGGGTCAGTTCTTAGGAATAAAGTATTTTCTCACTATTCTGGGGCCTCCTTTTAAAATGCAAAGCTAGGAGGATGCTGGGGCCCATTAAGTGGGAACAATTGTCTTCGGAGCCAGTGCCCGCCCAGAGGCCCTCCATTCTAATAGCTCCTTTCCCAACCTCTTACCACCGCTGTGACTGGACAATACGTGCTCTAGGAAACTGAAATTGGACAATGTGTGCTCTAAGCAACTTCTTAGGTGAGGATACCATTTCAAGAAAGCTTACTTTTCGTGAATAAAATGGGGTGCATAAGGTCATTGCTGTTTTTACTTTGTCAACTGGGTGGCCTCTGCAAGCTTCTTAAAACACTTCAAAGGAAGCCTTCTCAACTCTTCCAGCCCTCCACCCCTTCCCTTTGTAACTGAATTCTTACTGACCCCGAAGCTTTTCACTGAATGAAGAGTTTCCAAGGGGTCTAAAAAATACCTGAGACAATTAGAGAAATGAAAACCAGGGGGTCAAGATGAATTGACCCTTGGCGGAGGATTTACATAAATAGGTCCTAACCTCTGGCTGTGAATAAAAGATAAATGCCCCATTAGGGTCAGAACCACAGTTCAAGGGCGTTTGCAGGGCCAAGCCTGGCTTCTCTGCTATGTCAGGAATTTCAGGAATGCCACTGATCATTGTGTGTTGGCAGAGCGCAGGGGGTTGCAGGCCGGATAACAGAAACCCAGCCCTGCCCACTGGGTGAAGCTGCAGCTCTCCCACACAGCGATCTGCAAATCGAGAGCGTGAGAAACCTGCAAGTGGAGAGAGGAGCCAGAAGTAATGCCTTCGAAAATGGAACGGATGCCTTCTCCTGAAAGGTGACTAAATTCATGTTTTGGATGGTGGTATTAACCTGTAAGATTAGAGGGGAGAAAGGGCATGTCCCCTGAGAAGAGCCAGTTCGCTCCCCTTACCTGTAGATCAGATGACCCCGTGCTAGCCTCCTGCAGCCTGAAGGGCTCCACCACGTTTCCTTCTGCTGCTACCCAATAAAGAAGTCTTACAAGGGTGTTACAAGATAATTTTTAGAAAAAAGGTAAAATCCTGATCCTTATACAGACATAAAAATGAACATGTGTTAAAGATTTTATTTTACTCGTAATAACTGAGGGAACTAGGCACGTGTTATAACTGATTTAAAAAAGAAGCAGCCCAGATTTATAGGGAGTAAAGAATGTTGAAATGAATTACAAATGGAGGCAAACGTTCCCCGCCCCCAGCCCCCCACAATGAAGGAGGTAAGTTGAACCAGGCAGGACAGAATTCACATGTCTATCCCTTCTCTACAACTTACAGAGTTATAGAATAGCTCCTGTAGGAAACAAGTGCTTTAGGCAATAAAGAGTTTCCCCCTGAAGTATGAATTTTCTCTACAAGGGCAAGAAATTTTGCTTTCTACATATTGCCTCAAGAGAAGTGTCCCCTCTATCTGCTTACCTCTAACCCCTGCCCTGTCTCCGCACTCCCCCCTCCACCCCCCAGAAAACCGTATGTGTACTTTTTAACCAAAGACTGAGGTGGGCTTGAGAACCTTTGGCCAAAGTTGATTTCCCTCTTCCACAATTTTCTACCTTATTTTATTTCTTTGTCACATAAAGATGCATAGAATCCTGGTTGGGTTGTTCCTTGGCAAGATGAGAAGGATGACGAAGATGCTGCTTTGCCCATGTCATCTTGCTCTCTGTCACACCTCTTGCACTAAAGAGAAATCACAAGGAGAATGGGAACTTGGGATGGAGAACCCACTTGCTCTGCAGCTGTTTTGGCCAGCAGATGCCTTAATCCTGATGGCCATTTTGGGCTTATTTTGCTGAGAGTCTCCAAAGTGACCCATTGCATCATGGAGACAAAGAGCAGGGATATCTTGGATTCTACTGCTTAGAAAGTATGTCTTTTTTTCCCCTGTTGCATCAAAGAGATCTGTCAAGCTTTCTAAAAGTACTAACTCTGACCTGATATCTAAAGTAACAGATGGAAATATGGGCTCTTTAGATGGAGCTCTTTCCCCAAACCTGTATCTAAGTGAAGAGGTAGAGATTCAAAACAAAACCATGTTGGAGAATTACTTCTCATTCCTGGATTTAATGTCTTATTTTTATATTGTTGCATAAGAAATTGACTCTAAAAAGCAGCTGTTTTCGAATTCGGGAAATACTGTTCTAGGCTCATTTATTTAAAGACAAACAACCAAAAACACCAAACCCACTAGCCCAGGCTTTGATTGACCACCTCCTCCCCCATTTTCCTCTGGAGCAGTGATTTTCGGGCCACTGCATGAATTTCAATCTATTATCTAACGAAGAACGCCGAGGCTGGTGATACTGAGAAAGCATGAGAGAAAAAAAGATATCACAGTGACAACACACTTCTGCAGAGTTACATCCGAAAGCAAATAAGTGACCTACTTACTGTTCTGTAAAGCACAGGGCAGATTCTCACGTGGAAAAATGCCCTCAGAAGTACATGGTATGGGTAAAAGAATTTATGCAGGGCTGTCTTCACATAGGCATGCAGGTATGTGAGTGTGGGTTAGCAGACATTCCTTTCTGACTCATTACCCATTTTGCCCCTGCATTCCCCATTCCTTAGTGCTTGAGGCACTTTTTTTTTCCAGATTTCCCTAGGCTGGGACAGAGATTGATGGTATCTTGGAGCTCTCTAAAGAGAAACTGTGCCCCTTTGCACTTTCCTTTTGTGGCTAATCATTAAGACTTGCTCCCAAGCTCTGTCATATGAGCATGGCACAGCTGCCTCTGAGCTGAGAGCTCTTACCTGTCACAGGCTCTGGTACATGTAGACTCTCCTGGCAGTCTGTCAGTCGATACATATTTTTTAAAAATATTTAATTTATTTATTTGGCTGCGTCAGTTCTTAGTTGTGGCACGCGGTATTTTCGTTGCCACATGTGGGATCTTCATTGTGGCATGTGGGATCTTTAGTTGTGGCATGCGAACTCTTAGTTGCAGCATGTGGGATCTAGTTCCCTGACCAGGGATTGAACCTAGGCTCTCTGCATTGAGAGCGTGAAGTCTTAGCCACTGGACCACCATGAAAGTCCCAGTCAACACATATTTATCAACTAGACAGACAGTGAGACAGACAGTAATTTAGGGGAGAAAAACTTTTACTCTCTCCTCTTCTGTTCTATAGCTGGGACCTGCGAATTAAAGTGACAAACAATAGATTCACAGGAGAAATTGATGTTAATATGTTTTTCATTCATGGGGGCTTCACAGAAAAGAAGTGAAATCCCCCCAAATTTATCAAGCTTGAGTGCTTATATACCATTTTAACAAAGGGTGATAAACTGTGACTAGGTAAAGGAAAGGGGGTTTGGGCTTTCAGGGGCAATAAAATGTAGGAAGGTGACTAGGAAATATGTGGGGGAAATTAATGGTGGACAAAGGCTATTTAACAGGTTTGCTTATGCAGACTCATCTTGGTACCTTCTCTGTCTCAGTGACGTGTTTTTGTCCTCTTCCTGGTATGGGAAAGGGGGACATGTTCACAAGGGAAACTTGTGAGAGAACTCTTCTTGTGATTGCTTTTTCTCAATTGTCTTCAGTTCAAAATAATCCTTATGCCAAAGTGGCATAATTTGGGGTGTCATATTCTGATCCCCTTCAGTGAGAGGCATCAGAATGTTTTACAGGGCTTTAAAATATAATACTTGTATCACTGGAATAAGGAAGTGAACTTCCTAGCATAGCCTAGAGATCCGGAGGCCGTGGTAGATGAGGCCAACTTCCCCCATTTGAGTAGAGGACTCAGAAGCCTGGGGAAGCCAAAAGCAGGGATGGGAGTCAAGGAGGAGGAGTTCCAGGAAGGGCCTGAGAAAGAGGGTCTTTGATCAAGCATTACCTGTAGGCCACAGCTGCCCCTATTGCCCCAAAGCTACATCCTGAGGCGGGATGAAGAAAAAGTCAAAGTTTAGCATCTTATATTCTGAAAAGAGACTGAGGGAGAGAAGAAGATGGAGAAAGGAGTAATGAGATGTGAACCCACTTTTGTGCCTCAAATTCCTGGGAGTTTCTCATTGGTTCCTGTGTTCTGTTGCTGTCTACCGTCTGCAAAGGAAGGATGAAATCGATTGCCTTGCAGGCATAGATATAATCACCAATGAAGGGGATGCTACCCTAGAACATGCTACCCTAAAGTATGCCATTTTGGCATAAAGATGATTTGAGTTGAAGGCAATTGAGAAGCAGCAGACAAAGGAAGAACTCCCCCTTTCTGCCTAAAAGCAGGGCATAAATTTCCCATGGTAAAAGTGACATAAACTTCCATTTGTAAAGGTGTCCCCCTCTTCTATACAAGGAAGAGGACAAGACTCTTATCAGAGAGCAACTTGAGTCTGTATAACAGATTCTACTGAACAACCCTATCTACCATACATTTCCTAGTCACCTTCCCACAGTTTACTGCCCCTAAGAACCCAAACCCCTTTTCCTTGTCTAATCATTTCTCCACAATTTATTGCCCTTTGTTAAAAGATCTAACTGCCTTTGGGTTTCACTTTGTTTCTGTGAAGCCCCTGTGCACATAAAAATATTAGCATCGATAAAGAAACATATGCCTTTTCTCCCGTTAATCTGTCTTTTGTCAGTTTAATTCACAGGCCCCAAGAACAGAGTCTAAGAGGGTAGAGAAAATTTTTCCTCAGCTATACCACCATTAGTATTCCTTTGTTTGACTTTGTTTGATTGCTCAGGAAACGAGTTATTGGATTTCTTTCCCCCTGTTTCTATTAAACATATGGTTTACCATTGTGCTGGCTGAGTAGCAATTAGAGATCTCCATAGAGGCTCCTCTAACATGTTGCTTATTCTGGAAGACAGCTATTAAGACCCTCATGACCATGTGTTTAAAGTGTGCTGCCCTGAGGGATGCTGCTTTGTACCTTGGCAGTGTTGCCTTACTGAGTCCCAGCAGTCCAGGAAAATTCCTTGGATTCAGACTTTCCCATTATTCTGGAAAATTCATTTTTTCCTTTCTCCCACATGGGCCTGCTTAGACAGAGTGACTATAGACCACTGACTATAAAGTCATGGTCAATTAAAGAAAATGACTTCTCCATTTCATGCCTTCAGGGTTAATAACAGAGGCCCAGGGACTCCTGAGGTGTCCGAGGGAGGCAGTAGGCTAGTCTCCCAGTGAAACCAAGTAGAGAAAAGCAAAGAGAGGAATCATCATGGGGGCTGTTGTTTGAATTTTATGTTTGCAATTTAATTCTATAAATCAAATAAGGGAAATTCACACTGGTTCTGTATAGCACGTGATAAACCACAGCATTGCTACCAACAACTTTTTTCTCTCTTTATGATCAGTGGCCTCATCAAAAGTGCATATTTTGAGTTTTGCAATACCTGACACATAAGTTGTAAAGAAGAGGAGTTTTTCACAGGTTAAAGAGATATAAGGAAAGCAGCAAGATCTTATATCTGGAACATTTCTGAGGGGTATATGTTTATTAGAGTATCCAGTTATTCTATGACTAACTTCATTTTCTATGGTTTTTCTTAAGAAAACATTTGTGGAAGTATTCAGTTATGATCACAAACTACTTCTTGTGAATTATCTGTGATGACTACATTGATTTCCCCTGAAGATTTATACAGCCAGGATGTTTGAAAGCTTGGACATCATCTCCTCTGACATAAACAATTTTCTGTGAAACCTTTCCATGTTAACTTGTAGTACCTGATTCTCAAGCCTGATATACAATTAATGTATTCTCTTCTCCCACAAAATGTGTTTGTCGCTGTTTTGCTGTTATCCTCAAAGTATACACTTTCTTCTCCTAACCGTGGGCCCCAAATCCCACACAATGAGGGCGAACCACAGAGTAGCAGAGAGAAAAGAACATTGCTTTTCTTACATGAAGACTTTTCATCCAATTCCACCTCTCTGTTCTGTGGATACTATTTGGTGTTGGGGAAATAGTAGCATTCACAATTTGGTCTTCTAGATTTAATTTATACTACTTCAATTGGTGCCTTAAAAAAAAAGCACCTCAAAAAAGCAAAATGGGGTGCCCTAAATGCTGGGTTTTCTCCGCCTTTGGTCCAAGGGGTACCCAAGGCTCAGTGTATATTCATCATCACCAAAATATTGCCTTGTAGATATTTTTGAGAGCCAGAGATGAGTTTATAATGTTTTACAGGCCTGGTTTGGAGCTCTACGTCCTTTTCCTTTTTGGTAGTCAACTTGTTATATCTGTGATAAAAACAGTCACTGTGTGTGCCTAAGTACATTCAGAACCAGAAACCAACAAAAAAATCAAGATTCCAATAACTCAGGAGAACCTACCAGATTCTGACCATCTGACAGTCTCATCTCGACACCTACCAGTCTTCACTGATCAGAAAGGTGATCAGAGCCCTGAGCTCTTGATTTTATCACAAAGCGTTTTTTCTTTGTGGGTACCTTGGATCTGGAGATAGAGCATCGGGCGATCAGATAAAGCCATGTGGAGGGCTGAAAGTTTGCTGGAATGATGCTTGGGGCACAGTTTATGCTGTTGGAGCATTTCCTGTGTGCACTTTGAAACCTCTGAACTCAGTTCTTCAAAGTGAGAGCTACCTTATTCTGTCTTTCCGCTGAACAATGCATCTGCCACTTATCATCTTGGTTTTTTTTTTTGGCCACCTCCACCCTAATTGACTTAGCTAACATTGATTTATCAAAGCAAAAGCGTGGCCCTGACTGAGTCATAAGTCACACTTTTACCTGACATTATCTGAACCTTTGGAAATGAAACATGCAAATAATGGACGTTTTGTGCACGGGTCTACACACACGCACATATATGTGTCTTTCTGTTTGCTTCATTCATCATGTTCTCTATACTCCCACTGTTTTTCTCCATACTCCCACTGTTCTTCTCCCCCCTCGCACCCCTTCTCACCCATAGTAGTTTAGGAGAGAGTTATGTTTTCTCATGAGCCAAAAGGTCATTTTTCAAGTTGAGCCCTGTTAACCTCAGTGACAAATGCTTGTTTTTCAGAAGTTTCCTCTTTGCAAAACTCTGTTTTTAGGACAGAAAATTTATTTCGCTTTAGAGAGCCAGTGTGGTAAGAGGAAACTGAAGCTGGTCTCTGGGTGTGTGTTTGTGCTAATTTGCTGTACAGTCAAATGTGGATATAGGTCAATAAAAGCTGTTCTTTGATCTATTGCTGCAAAAGATTCATTGTAAATACATTACTGGATATGAGGGTTATGGCTGTGTAACTGCCCCTTGCAAACAGTGCCGTGCCCTGTGCCATCCTTTAGCATGTACAAGAAGTGAGACATCTGGCTTCAACCTGCCTGGGTTTTTTTTTTTTTTATTGAGGTAAAAAACATAACAAAATTTACCATCTTAACCATCTTTTTTTTTAATATTTAACAAATTTAATTTTTTTAACATTATTTTGGTTCCAAAAATACCTGGCATGGTGGTTAAATATAACAGCTGTTGCATCTTAACCATTTTTAAGTGTACCTTACAGCGGTGTTAAGTACAGCCTCCCTGGGTTTTACTTTGCTGATTTATTTATTTTTTGATTTATTTATTTTTAATGGGTAGCCACGATATCATTTCATTTCTGGGTATCCCCATAAAAGGATAGCATTCGGGCAGAGAAATAACCTTAAAATAACAATAACAGCAACAAACACTTAGCAACAAGAAGTGAATAAAACGAAACAAGGCCAATATTCCTACAGCTAACTCTTTTGAGTTAATACCTGTTATTATTATGTGTCTAGCACTGGCCAAGGCATTGTAAAGAATGCAATGAGATATGATCAGTGACCTCAAGAGGTTTACCCTCCTCTTATGGGATGCAGGTATCAGAGTAAATCACGTTCACTAAAATAGGAATCAAGGCTTCAGCCATATCTCCCTTACTCAGTGATTGTATATGGAGACACATTTCCTTTTACCCATAAATGCATAGTCTGTGTAATTAAGTAGCGAAGCAGAGCAGCCAGTTGAAAAGGTCATTGTTTGAAGTCATAGGCCCTATCTAGGTGTGACAAGCAACCCATGGTGGCAGGGGATTTGGAACCAACCTCTGCTGAGGGCTGGTTGGGCCAGCGTGGCCCACAGGAATCTCAGTGGGAGAACAGGGAAAAGGCTTTGTGAGATTGATGCGATCTTGACTGTGAATTTCAGGTTTCCATGGTCAGCCTCTAAGCCTTTCTCCTCTTACCTGCCTTGTGAGACTGGAGGGCAAACTGGGTTCGAAAACCAAAAGATACAACCTCTTCCCCCCAGATTGCTTGATTGTCAAAGACAAATAAACATTCCCCTCCTTCCCTTCCTTCCTTCCTTCCTTCCTTCCTCCCTCCCTCCTTCCCATATTTGGAGATATGTCTGGGTGTGGGATGAGCCGTTGGGAAGAGGTGGATCGTGAAATCCCTAACACAAAGCTGGTGTGTGTTCCATGGATAAAGACCCCACCTCTCAGATCTCATTTAGACGACATCCCTGCAATGTTTACACTGCTTGCTGTCATAGTCAGCCTTCAAATACTTGGCTTCACTTAAGCCAAGTTGATCCTCTAACAAGTGATAATTCATACGAAAGCATTTGTAATGTCTAATGTGCTAAGAAAATATGAATGGTATGGTTTCAGTTTTTATATTATTAAAATCAACCTTTAAATGTCATTTCTCTGCCGTTTCCTGTAAAAGCAGCATCACCCACCCTGGGTCCTGGGGGGAAAGATGGAGGAAAGGAATTGACTTTCTCTGGTTCACACTGGAAATCAAACTGGGCCCACCTCTCCTGCAGTCTGAGTCAGTGACTCTCATTTGCTTTTATTTTTTCTTGTTTGCTTTGACCTATTCTGCAGTCAGCACATACAGGTGTACAACGCCCCCACAAGCAAACGCACTCGATAAAGCGTATTGTGCTACATCATTGCTATAGTGATAACCTTGAATCTGCTCTAATCTGTGAAAGAGCACATCATTCAGAACATCCCATACTTTATTATTAACAGATTACTTATGACTCACCTCATAAATGACCCCAACAACGCCCGTGATTGTGACTCAGTGTTCCCAGCGTCAGTCTGATGCTCTGGCAACAGAATTGTTCTGTTTCCCCTTGCATTGACTCCAGTTCTGGGAGGCTTCCAGATCCTTTCAGTTCAATGATTTCTATTCAATTCCGCAGACATTGAGCACCTACTGTGCTCAAGTACTCAGCCTGTTCAGGGGACACAGACATAAAGCAGCCCTGGTTTCCACCTTCCTGATGCGCACAGTCTAATGACGAGTTTTTTCCGTGATGCTGTCCCCAACTGTCTCTCTTCTTCTTCCATTGGTGCTTTCTGGCCCCAGCTTTCTCCCATCTCTCCACAACTGAGGTCCCAGGAAGGCTTGTAAGGGACCTTTCAGGGGTGTCTGAGACTCCTCTTTGCTCTCATAGACCTCTGGATTTATGTTAACCATTCCATTCCAAAGTACACTGTATTGCATCTTAGCCAATGTGCCAGGTGCTATGTACTTAGCCCTGTCTAATCCTCACAACCCTATGAAGTAGGTTCAGATGAGGAAACTAAAGCTAAAAAAGCCAAGTAGCCTGTCCAAAGTCACATAAGCAGTAGCAGAAGAGCCCCGGCCTGAACTAGGCAGTCTGATTCGAAAATCTTTGTACTATTCTAAGAGTGAAGCAAAACTTGGTACCCACGACTTATAACCACCAACAAGTGTGTGGCATTTAAGCAAATATTCTGACCATGATTATTTGAAGACCCTATACTTAAAAATTTTTTTATTGAAATATAATTGATTTACAATGTTGTGTTAGTTTCAGGTGTACAGCAAAGTGATTCAGTTGTACATATGTATATATCTATTCTTTTACAGATTCTTTTCCCTTATAGGTTGTTACTAGATACCAAGTATAGTTCCCTGTGCTACACAGTAGGTCCTTGTTGGTTATCTACTTTATAGACAGTAGTGTGTGTATGTTAATCCCAAACTCCTAATTTATCCTTCCCCCTCCTTTCCTCTTTGGTAACCATAAGTTTGTTTTCTATGTCTGTGAGTCTATTTCCGTTTTGTAAATAAGTTCATTTGTATCATGTTTTTAGATTCCACCTGTAAGCGATATCATATGATATTTGTCTTTCTCTGTCTGACTTGAAGACCCTATACTTTTTTCCATTTCCAGATATCCCTGATTCATGATATTGGGTCTTAAGAATATTTTATGACTGCTATGTCCACTAAAATCTTAATACACTTATGGCAAGGATTAAAAAAATACAAATAACTTTTAAAAGACCCACTGCTTACCACCACCACCCCACCATTCCATGAGGTGAACCAGGATTCTAGCCTAATTGGCAAGCAAGCACATTTCCTATGAGGTCCATCAACCTGTTGATGACATAGGGCCCCTGCCAGAGCCTACACAGTGGATTCAAGCATGGGGCAGAGCCTTGGACTCTGAGCAAATGTTTCTGTGGAGAAACAGCCTTCACTGCATATGTAAAAAGGCTTGGATTTGCTTTGTTTTGTTTCTGTTATGAGAAATGGCCAGAGGGCGGCCTGATGTGCCAGGTAAGGTAGAATCAATGAGAAGCAATTTACCAAATGGAGATACCAATATTATCTGTGTGGTTAATCTGTAGCACCTACCACCTTGTGACCCTCCATGAAGCTTTAAATCCTGTAAATTCAAACAGATTTTTCAATCCACTTTGCATTTAAAATCGCCCAGATCTGGGAGAAATTTGTTGTTACCATGGTAGCCAGCCTACATAACAGAAAGTTTTCCAATGTACTATTTTCTTTGCATGGGCTTCAGTTAATAACTCGTGGAGAGCTTCTACAGATCCTTAATATGCTGAGATCCACAGTCTAAGAGCTGGGCACGTTTCTCCCCCACTTATGAAAGGCTAAAGCCAAGGATTGGACTGGCTATGCAGGGAACCTGGAAGGTCCCTTGACCTCTGGTGTGAGTGCTGTTAGGCGGCAACCAGAGCTGGCAAAAAACCCCAAAGGAATACAAACCTGCCATGTGTTCAAGAATACTCCTGCACACTCAAAAAGATAGGCCCAGTGTGGGAAGCAGCAGTGCTTGTCTTCCTGTTAAAAAGCCCACTGATGAAGCCGGATGCCTTGCCCCGGGTCAGTGAAGATTATATTGTTTTATCCTACTCTGCACAGAGAAAACAGATTAAGAAATGGAATTAGGCACTCCTCCTACACTTTCCCCCAGGATCCTCTCTGTTCTGATTGCCTATTGACCTGCTTTCCAAACTGGACTGCTAATTTCAAAGGGGCCAGGGCTATGCTTGTCTTGTTCATCCCATAGCAAGGACTTAATCAATATTTGCTGAAATGATGAAATGGCTGAATGAATGAGGCTTTGAAAATGCTCATTCGATGAAAAATTGATAATAGACCACCATTTCTATGGAATTCAGTGATCTGATTAGAGCCGGCATGGAGAGAAAGGGAAGCTGTTGAAAGAAACTGAGGCTCCGGGATGCGAAAGCATCCTCCCACTTGTGACAACATGGGTGGACCTTGAATGCATTAAGCTAAGGAGGATGTCACACAGAGAAAGACAAGTACTGTATGATATCACTTGTATGTGGAATCTAAACAAATGAAACCTATAAAAAACAGTAAAATGGTGGTTACCAGGGAATGGGGGGCAGGGGTATAAGAGTGATGGTGTTCAAGGGTACAGACTTGTAAAGAATAGTAAATGCACCATAGAGATCTAATGCACAGTATAATTAATATAGAAAATAATACTGTGCTGTAATTATATAATGTGATAAATAGAGATACATGGGCAAACATATTACAATATATAAATGTACACCTTCAATTCGTACTATGTTACATGCAAAATTTATTCAATAAAAGTTTGAGGTATCACATACCATTAAAAAAACAAAGAAATTGAGGCTCCAGGGGCATGCCATTTTACTCAAAGATAGAAGAGCTGTGGTGAGTGCTAGGAGAGGAACATCTTGGCTGATCAGAGGCAAATCAGTGGGATTTAGCTGCCCAGGTGATCTTTGTACTTTGGGGGAGCAGAGAAGCACAGTGGAAAGGAGGGTGGGGATACAATCTAGACTGAAGTGAAATCCTAGAGAATCAGAAAACAATCTCCCTCAGGGAGTTAAGAGAGCTGACTTGCAAGTGGAGCAGGGAGCATGAGAGAGGAAATGGGCTGGGACAAGGAGAATGGTAGATGCCCTGAGCAGCATCCGGCTAGTTCCACGAGCAGCCAGGTGTTCCTTATGCCCAAGGCAACCCTGAGACAATTTCACAGTCAAGAGATTTTGCATCAAGGAGCTGACTCTTTAGTGGTGAGGGTCCTGGTGGGACTGCCTGCATGGCAAGCATGCAGACCCAGGATAGGCAAACTGGGGTCTTTGGGCTAAATCCAGTCTGCCACCTGTTTCCGTAAATAAAGTTTTTTTTCTTTTCTTTTTTCTTTTTTAAATTTTTTATTGCAGTATAGTTGATTTACAGTGTTGTGTTAGTTTCTGGTGTACAGCAAAGTGATTCAGTTATGTGTATGTACACACACATATATATATTCTTTTCCATTATGGTTTATTACAGGATATTTAATATAGTTCCCTGTGCTATACAGTAGGACCTATTGTTTATTTATTTTATATATAGTAGTATGTATCTGCTAATCCCAAACTCCTAATTTATCCCTCCCCCACCCCCTTTCCCCTTTGGTAACCATAAGTTTGTTTTCTATGTTTGTGAGTCTGTTTCTGTTTTGTAAATAAGTTCATTTGCATCATATTTTAGATTACACATGTAAGTTATATCATATGATAATTGTCTTTCTCTTTCTGACTGACTTCACTTAGTATGATAAACTCTAGTCCACCGTGTTGCTGCAAATGGCATTATTTCATTCTTTTTTATGGCTGAGTAATATTCCATTGTACATATATATACAATGGAATATATATATGCATGTATGTATATATATATATATACACACCACATCTTCTTTATCCATTCATCTGTTGACAGATACTTAGGTTGCTTCCGTGTCTTGGCTGTTGTAAATAGTGCTGCTGTGAACATTGGGGTGCATGTATCTCTTTGAATTAGAGTTCTCATCTTTTCCGGATACAGTAAGTCCCCTACATACGAACCTTAAAGTTGCAAACTTTCAGAGATGCAAATGGCTGTTCGCACGTCCAGTCACATAAGTTAGTTCATGTGTCTGGTGTACACTGTCAGCGTGCGTGCATCCTCTACAAGTGGTTGTGCTTTTGTGTACTTTACTGTACAGTACTGTATAGAGTACAGTAGTACAGTATCTTTATTTCAAGCCCAGGATGTCTGAAAGCAAGTGTAAAGGCAGTGGTGATGTAGCTGGTACAGTACTACCCAGACATCACTGGATCGTTTTTTCAAGAGGCTAGATAGAACTGAATCCAGCAAGGAACCAGAACCTGTGCCATCAGCGTCAGGCGTGAGTGAAATTGCAGCTTACCTTCCGTCCCCTATTGCTGATGATCCTTCAGCTCTACCATCTCCCACCTCCTCTCCCTCCTCCAGTCAGTAACTCTTCTTCCCTGTTCACTCGATGCCAGCCCCTGGATGCCAGCTGTTGTACTGTATTACGGTACTTTTCAAGGTACTGTACTATAAGATTAAAA